CTGCCCATAAGCCAATTTTTAGACCGAGTCAAGCAGCTTCCTTGATTGAAAATTAGAGATTGTATAAAACAATGTGCAATAATTAAGAAATGAACTGCTTTTTCCCACTCATTGCTATATTTATATAATACCTGCTAGTGTAATAATTACTTCAAAATCTCACAAATGTTCTCAGATGAATAAGGTTAACTCATATGTTAGAAAAGTAGTAAAAACAGGTTAGTTTACTAACACTAGTCTTGCTACAGCCATGCTTCGTCAAGTTCGGGCGAGAGAGTAGGAGAAACAGACAGTTAGAGAAATTTCAGAATGACAATAGAAAGTACGAACTTTAAACGTAAGATGACTTTTAAACAGGACGAATTGGACTCTGCGTCAAAAATGTGTTTAAAGTTCATACTTTTTACTGTCATTCTCAAATTTCTCTCACTGTCTCTTTCTCCTAGTCTCTCGTCTCATTGTTTTCCGGCAGGAGAAGAGCAAAATTAGCATTGGTAACGTAGCAGATTTTCGCTGTCATTCCATATCTGTGTCTATCCAACAAGATTTTTCAAATATTAAAGAAATGTTTACACTAAATAGACTTCGTAAAAGTGAGAAAAAAACAGTGGTTTTCTTAACTGTCTCTAAAACCCTAAAATTTTCTGAGCAACATTACCTCGTTTACTGGAAACAGTTCAGAAACAGAAAATTTCCTTTATTCCACTGCAGGTGACACTGGAAAATCATGAAGCAAAAGGTAACGGTGACATAAGTTTTTTATTCATTTGTTTCTTTTTTTTACTTTTTTTTTCTTGTATCGAGAAATACGTGAAGATCAACGGAGAGGTGGGGTCACAAATGCTGTAAAAGCAGAAAATTTTTCAAGGCCTTTGACTGATGGAGCCATGCGTTTTGCCGGAAAATTTGTTCTTCAGTAGCCTCACTGACCGTACTCATTCCAAGAAATTAACTGGTTAAACATTTTTTTCAGCCAGAGACGAAGTATTTGATAAAAAAGAAAAAAGTTGTACTGATAACTATGCTCTTGAGCAGTTAGCATGCAAATTACTGATAATCCTGTTGCCGCAGCGTATTTCCTAATCATTGCATAGCGAAGTCAGTACGTGGTCAGAAATACTCTAATACTCATAGATTTCTCGAGTTTTTCTGCTCAGTCGCTTTATATCCATTGTTATGCAATAAACTGTTGAAAATGTAATTAAAAAAATTTTGTATGTTACAGTTTATGGGACCTTGCTTAAATAAGATTTGCTGCACCAGACCGTTCTGCTACTGGTGCTTAATTCGTCTGTCCATTTTACGAACGATTAGTGTTGGCCTTTAACAAAAAAATTCGCTGATTTTATAGTGCATCTCAATGTAGACGGGTCATCTATATGAAAAATTAAGAGTGAATCTTACATGAATAACGAGGTGAGTCAAGCTGTCGTATCAACGGCAAGACTTCCACCTTAACCCTTCGAATGAAGCGCTAAACCAATTCAGTAATAACTCTTACTTTCGACGTCCTTGGTGTACCCAACAGAAAAGGAATGAAAGACCAGAATTCTGCTCAAAACTCTCATAATTCCTATTTTGCCTGTAAGTTAAGAGTAAACCTACTCATTCAAGCAAGAATGATAACAAATGACCGTATTTGTACTCGTTGTTTTCTAAAAGAGTTGCCAAATTATTTCTTAGAGGTTTCTGAGTCAAAGAAAATCAAAAACTTTACAAATGTCCTAGGTCGCTGTACTTTTCAAAGATTTCAGATGCTTTACTTTTCAAACTGCAGTTACAGGTGCATGAGGCTCGAATTCAGCTCTGTGCTGTTCTTATTTCGATGCTTTATGATATGCATAAAGTAATCAAGCACAGTTAGGGCTAAAAACAGAGAAAAAGGAGGAGAAGAACACAACTATAATTTATTTCGTTTCCGTTCGCTCTGAAATGGCTTTCTATTTACATCAAGCGTTAATGGGGACGAGTCCGGTGCCCTTATAAAAAGTTCCAAAATGTATACACAGAAGGAAATGCTTAAAGTAAAAAACTGCGAGAAATTTATTTTCACCTTAATTACTGACTAGTGTAACTAAATTCCTTAGTGCTTTTACTGCAGCGACACTGTGAATAGAGCTTTTATTCTATTCCTTGATACGGTGCAATAACTATTTTACCCGAACAATCAAGCTTGGTGGCAAAACAGTAGGCGGAAATTTGCCGTTCAGCAGAGCCTGGGTGAGCTTGGTAAAGAACTACAAAAATTAAATTTGTTATAGGCTAAAACCTTTTGTAAAATGCTTCATCTCTGTTACAGCTACTGCACAGGATCTGTTAATTGCTGTTGCACGAGGCAATATTTTGCAAATTTAACGATGACAACAATGACCATGAAAACTCTATTATTGTTCACTTTACAACGTCCAAAAAGTCATTGTTCCATTTCTAGTATTTAAAGAATACCGTCAGACAAGTGCGCAAAATTTACATATTTTTTTTTTTTTAAGGTTTGGTTGTGTGTTTTTTAAGCAATACAGAAGTTACGTTGCGCATCGCCAACCTTTTCGGATCCAGTCATGGCTTTCTCAGTAAAAAACCTTGACCGCAACAAAACTCATCTTCCGAGCCTCTAAACTCTTTACATTAAAAAATAAACTGTAATTCTAAAACGCTAGGAACAGCGGTTTTGTACTTCACTCCACGCCAAACGACAACTAAGACGCTGCAAAATTACAACTCCTGCGCGGAACCTTTGGCCAAAAAGTTAAAAGAAGGTAAAACTTCATTCGTCAATTCTAATTTACAGCTCATAATTTTCTTCGCAATACCACCACAACCACAACTGACCCCAAACTTCAGTTTGCTTCAGTTCTTAGCAGGCGCCAAAAATTAAACTGAAAGACTTTGGTAGATTACTATAAACGACCATAACTTTGTCAATTTTCCATGGAGAATTCACTGCAAAAAAAAAACCTTTCCTACTTCACACTCATGTAACTTTAATCTGACGGCGGTTTAACCAATCTTGCTATCTGGTACTATCAAAACATACTGCATAAGCCAGCCGGGCACAGAAAAGATTTGCCCAGTACAAATGCTTGACAGAAGAAAAAATTATTACTGTTGATATTCAAGGCTTTTGAAAGGCACTGCACTTTAGGGTAACAGCTATATCACAGAAATAAGAATATTAAAAGAAAAAGGATAATTAAATTAAGCGGAGTTCTGGATAATAAGAAAAACGATTACGCAGAACAGCACAACGAGCAGTATAAAACAAAACACGGTTTCACCCAATGTCTTCATGCAACGTCAAAACTGCTTCATCGTAAGGCTTTCAAACAATAATCCAACAACCTTTTTTATACATTGCGATCCTAAAGCAGCAGACCGTAACAAAATTCAAAGGTGGCAAAGGCAATAAAAACAAGACCACCCTATATAAGTAGATCGCTATAAAGGACCATAACTACGTTCCCCTTGAATAGAGAATTCATTGCAAAAACGCTCTTCCTACATCAAACTCATGTGATTTTTATCTACATTTTCATAGCAGTAAACTACAAATATCACGACATTTTGAGCCCTTATGCTGAAAAATGAAGCAGATCCCCTTGACTAAGAAACGAAGAAAAGAAGACTGTTGAAAAAAGCAACTATGGAATAAAAGTTTTGAGGAAGAAAGTAACTTAAAGGGGTAAACAATAAGCAGTAACCAAATAACGTTCGGCATATAACTCGCACAAAATAAGGGAGTTGCCTTCTGAAAAACAACCCTTTTCCGTTTCGCCTGCAAGACAACCAAGGTACCGAAGAGTCCAAACTGTTACGTAAACAAACATCCGTTCTTTACTTTACAGTCTTTATTCCACAAAAACATCGATAATTCGTCCACAACAAGAAGACGCAAAATTAGGACTGATTATGTGGAGCAGAAGGAGACATACTCGCCTGCTCCAACATCCTTTGCAGTTGAGCCTGAGGGTCAGATATTGGACTGCGTGGAGAAGTCTTAAAAACACACCTTTAAATTGTGACTTTTATACTAAAAAGCCCCAGAATACTGTGTACCGACTACCAAGTAAGATAGGAAATTTCTACATGGAACGCAGTCAGCAGCATAAACAAATCTATCTATCCTACAAAACTCCTAACCAGTGAAAGTGATAATGATTATTTAAACCTGAAAAATTCTAAAATGAACCTGATCCTTCTGCTTTAAAAGATTGTTAAAGAAAGAAAGCAGAGGTGAGTTCCCATCTGGAACATCTGTTACAGTTTTCTGCATTGAGGTTCTCTTTGGCAACGGTACTTCAACACTAGATAGCTTCTGTAAAAAGTCCTGCTCCTCATCTGCTTCCACTTTCTGCTCTTTCACGGATTGCCCTTCACGTACTACCTCCAATAATATGAGAGAAAATTAATTCCTACACCAATTCTAAAACAAGTAAGCA